TGGGGATTTGGCTATTGCGTTTAGTAAGGCGAGGGCGACGCGGTTGCCACCCCATAGGCAGGGGGATTGTGCGATAAACCTCCAGGCAGGAGCTGCGCTCCCACGGAGCCATGTGTATCCTCTGTCTCAGGAGGAGAAGAAAGCTATGGAGATTTACATAGACGAATCGCTGAGACAAGGATACATACGGCCGTCCACTTCCCCCGCGTCCTCGAGTTTCTTTTTCGTGAAGAAAAAGGATGGTGGTTTGCGTCCGTGCATCGATTACCGTGGTCTCAATCAGATTACGGTGAAGTATAGTTATCCACTCCCGCTGATTGCGACCATGACTGAGTCGTTGCATGGGGCGCGTTTCTTCACGAAATGAGATCTCAGGAGCGCGTACAACTTGGTGCGCATCAGGGAGGGTGATGAATGGAAAACAGCCTTTAGTACCACCTCGGGCCATTACGAGTATCTGGTCATGCCATACGGGTTGATGAACGCTCCATCAGTTTTCCAATCATTTGTGGATGAGATCTTCAGGGACATGCAGGGGCAGGGGGTGGTGGTGTACATTGATGACATTCTCGTGTACTCACCTACCCGTGTCGAGCATGTGGCCCTGGTGCGCAGGGTGTTGCGGAGGCTGGTGGAGCACGACCTGTATGTGAAGGCAGAGAAGTGTCTGTTTTTCCAGGAGTCGGTCTCCTTTTTGGGTTATCAGTTGTCTGCGTCAGGGGTGAAGATGGAGGTAGACCGGGTGTCGGCCGTGCGTAATTGGCAAACACCAACTACTGTGAAGGAGGTGCAGCAGTTTTTGGGGTTTGCAAATTACTACAGGAGGTTTATCCGGGGTTTTGGACAGGTGGCAGCTCCCATCACGTCTCTGTTGAAGGGGGGTCCGGTGCGTCTGCAGTGGTCGGCCGAGGCGGACAGGGCGTTTGGGAGGCTGAAGGACCTGTTTACCTCGGCCCCGGTGCTGGCGCATCCGGATCCCTCTTTGCCGTTCCAAGTAGAGGTGGACGCGTCGGAGGCCGGTTTAGGAGCCGTGCTTTCACAACGGTCTGGCGCGCCACCTAAACTCCGCCCCTGTGCTTTTTATTCTAAGAAGCTCAGTCCGGCGGAGCGGAACTATGACGTAGGGGACAGGGAGCTGTTAGCCGTGGTACAGGCTCTAAAGGTGTGGAGGCACTGGCTTGAGGGGGCTCAACACCCTTTCCTCATTTTGACGGACCACCGTAACCTGGAGTACATCCGGGCGGCGAGGAGGCTGAACCCTCGCCAGGCAAGATGGAGTATGTTCTTGACCAGGTTTACTTTTAAGATCACGTACATCCCTGGGTCACAGAATGGCAAGGCAGATGCGCTGTCTCGGCGGTATGACGCGGAGGAGAGGTCCGTGGAGCCCACTCCCATACTGCCTGAGTCGTGTCTGGTGGCACCGGTAGTGTGGGAGGTCGATGCTGAACTCGAGCGGGCGTTACGCACCGACCCTAGTCCACCACAGTGCCCGGAGGGTCGAAGTACGTTCCGCTCGAGGTTCGGGATCGATTGATCTATTGGGCTCACACGTCACCCTCCTCTGGACATCCGGGTATCGGCCGGACAGTGCACTGTCTTAGTGCCAAGTACTGGTGGCCCACGTTGGCAAGGGATGTGAGGGTTTATGTTTCCTCCTGCTCGGTGTGCGCCCAGTGTAAGGCGCCTAGACATCTACCTAGGGGTAAGTTGCTACCCCTGCCCGTTCCACAACGGCCATGGTCCCACCTATCAGTGGACTTTATAACAGACCTTCCCCTCTCCCAAGGGAATACTACCATCCTGGTCGTTGTGGACCGGTTCTCTAAGGCCTGTCGTTTGCTCCCCATGCCGGGTCTTCCTACGGCCCTGCAAACTGCCGAGGCACTGTTTACCCATGTGTTCCGGCACTACGGGGTACCCGAGGACATTGTGGCTGATCGGGGTCCCCAATTCACCTCCAGAGTCTGGAGAGCGTTTATGGAGCGGTTGGGGGTCTCGGTGAGCCTCACCTCGGGTTACCACCCGGAGAGCAATGGGCAGGTGGAATGCGTAAACCAGGATGTGGGTAGGTTTCTCAGAACATACTGCCAGGACCGGCCGGAGGAGTGGTCAAGGTACGTTCCCTGGGCCGAGATGGCCCAGAATTCCCTACGCCATTCCTCCACTAACCTAACTCCATTTCAATGTGTGTTAGGTTACCAGCCGGTTCTGGCACCCTGGCAGCAGAGCCAGATCGAGGCTCCTGCGGTGGATGAGTGGGCGCGGCGCTCGGAGGAGACTTGGAACGCTGCACACGTCCACCTGCAGCGGGCCCTCCGACGTCAGAAGGCGAGCGCTGATCTCCACCGCAGTGAGGCACCGGTGTACGCACCTGGTGATCGAGTCTGGCTCTCTACCAGAAACCTGCCCCTCCGCCTGCCCTGTCGGAAACTGGGTCGGCGGTTTGTAGGGCCATTTAAAGTCCTGAGAAGGTTGAACGAGGTATGTTATAGATTACAGCTACCTGTGGAGTATAAGTGTATTAACCCCTCGTTCCATGTGTCCCTTCTCAGGCCGGTGGTAGCGGGCCCACTCCAAGAAGATGAGATCTTGGAGACTCCTCCGCCCCCGTTGGACATCGAGGGGGCACCGGCGTACTCCGTGAGATCCATCTTGGATTCGAGACGTCGGAAGGGGGGTCTCCAGTATCTAGTGGAGTGGGAGGGGTACGGTCCGGAGGAGCGGTGCTGGGTGCCGAGGAGAGACGTGTTGGACCCGTCGCTCCTGACGGAGTTCCATCGGAGGCATCCGACGCGCCCTGCGCCGCGTCCCCCTGGTCGTCCCCGAGGCCGGAGTCGGCGCACGTCTGGAGCCGCGCGTCAAGGGGGGGGTACTGTCACGGTTTCGGCCGAGGCTGCCTCTCTCCCTTGTTCGGGCAGGCTTCGGCGTTCGTCGTCTCCGGAATTCTAGCTGCCACCGCTAGATGTTTCATGTTCGTTTGCTTTTGTCTGTTTGTTTCCACACCTGTTTCTGTTTTGACGTAATTAGTGTCCTATAAGTTTCTCGTTGTGTTTGTCTAGGGTTGTGTGTGATTGTTTCCGTCAGTGTTGTGTTTTGCTCGGTTGAGCGTATTTCTCCACTGTGCTGGAGCTTATTTTGCACTTGTGTGTGCACCGTTACATTTTGTCGCACCTGTTAGTGCGCATTTACCTTTCGCCTTCGTGCGGGTTTTGCTGTCGGGCTTAGTTGTCCTGTTGCCTGTGTTGGGCCAGTAATACAGCCTTTGGAACATTCAGTCTGCGTCCTGCGTTTGATTCCTACACTACACCTACAACACGCCCTGACACCACAGAGACATTTGACCCAAAGCTTGCTGTTGACCTGTGGATGGAGACAGCTAATCGGAGGCTCAACCAAGGACAGGGAGGTGTATCTGCAGCATCTTCATCTACCATGCAGGAAGCTGAAGCAGAGGACAGTGGGAGGCGACACTGAAGAGGACAGTGAGGAAGACTGTACTTATTAAGACCACGCTACATATGGGGTGAGTACCAGACACCATCTGCTGGTACTCACCTGAGTAACTCACTGAAAAAGTTATGTGCTCCCCTGTCAATAGCAGTATTTCTCCTTTATGACCACTGTCTCGTTAGCAGTATTCCTCCTTTATGACGGGGCTGTAGTGGACGGGGCTGTAGTGGAACAGGTTGAGAGCTTCAAGTTCCTTGGTGTCCACATCACCAACGAACTATCATGGTCCAAACACACCAAGACAGTCGTGAAGAGGGCACGACAAAGCCTATTCCCCCTCAGGATACTGAAAAGATTTGGCATGGGTCCTCAGATCCTCAAAAAATTCTACAGCTGCACCATCGAGAGCATCCTGACTGGTTGCATCACCGCCTGGTATGGCAACTGCTTGGCCTCCGACCGCAAGGCACTACAGAGGGTAGTGCGTACGGCCCAGTACATCACTGGGGCCAAGCTTCCTGCCATCCAGGACCTCTATACCAGGCGGTGTCAGAGGAAGGCCCTCAAAATTGTCAAGGACTCCAGCCACCCTAGTCATAGACTGTTCTCTCTGCTACCGCATGGCAAGCGGTACCGGAGTGCCAAGTCTAGGTCCAAAAGACTTCTCAACAGCTTCTACCCCCAAGCCATAAGACTCCTGAACAGCTAATCATGGCTTCCCGGACTATTTGCACTGCCCCCCCACCCCATCCTTTTTACGCTGCTGCTACTCTGTTAATTATTTATGCATAGTCACTTTAACTCTACCCACATGTACATATTACCTCAACTACCTTAACTAGCCGGTGCCCCCGCACATTGACTCTGCAACGGTACCCCCCTGTATATATAGCCTCCCTACTGTTACTTTATTTTACTTCTGCTCTTTTTTTTCTCAACACTTTTTTTGTTGTTGTTTTATTTTTACTTTTTTTGTTAAAAATAAATGCACTGTTGGTTAAGGGCTGTAAGTAAGCATTTCACTGTAATGTCTGCACCTGTTGTATTCGGCGCATGTGACCAATACAATTTGATTTGATTTTTGCAACTCCAGACATCCTTTCAGCCTCCCACCGCAGTCTCCTCCAGAAGAATGGCTACTCTGTCTATTGGGACAAATAGGATCGTAAATCATCAACCAACTCACATTGCCTTCACTGAGAACTGACAGATTCCTAGTATTTCCCATAGGCTTCAGAGGATAAGATAACCATAAACCCTTTACAAAGGCAATATTAAGCCTACTACAGGCCTATCAGATTAACAGTTGCAAATGACATGACACAGTTCGTGGCACATGAGAAGATTGTAAAATGTGTCTTGTTTCTCACCGACTAACAGGTTCGTAGAGACTGGAGACCATGCATAGAGGTTGATACTCACTCATTGGAGAGGAGCGCCTGTGTTTCGTGGGGTGTCGAACAGCAGGTGGCGGTAAAGGGACCTTTGTAGGCCACGTCATCGAAACCAGAAAGGCAGGGAATAGATCACGTGACAATCCCGGATGTCAACAAACGATATCAACAATAGGGGAGTGTCAACACTTCGTTGTTACAGATTTTCCAATGGATTAACCGATATTTGATAATTAATTAATGTTAGTCACTCGTGTACCTTCTGAAACTATGAGTGCGTTCTGTTGATTCTACGCTAGTTTAGCTTGTGACGAAACTTTTAAAATGAGGTCCGATTCTCCTCTCTCCAGCGTCAACGTAGTGCTTGTTATGGCCTACGGAAGTCTGGTAAGTATTTTATATGAATGTGATCTCGTGTTTTTCCTTTACAGAAATAATGCTTGGCAAAACTATCTGTTGCGTTTCTCAGGACTCCTGTGTAATGGAATTAGCTAGCTAGCTATGGAGACAAGCAAGCACAGCACAAGTGTCAAACTTTGTGTAACAAAAAACAGGTTATAGGACAGAGTCAACGAAGACGTTAACTGGGTACTTATATGGAAAGCACACAACACAGTAAAATATATTAAATGGATATTTCACCCAAATTACACTGCGTCATTGAGTTTTGGTACACCAGAAGTACACTGCTCAAAAAAATAAAGGGAACACTAAAATAACACAACAGTGGTAGGCCTGATCACCGACAACGATGAGACAGCCTATAGGGAGGAGGTCAGAGATCTGGCCGTGTGGTGCCAGGGTAACAACCTTTCCCTCAACGTGACCAAGACAAAGGAGATGATTGTGGACTACAGGGAAAAAAAAGAGAACTGAGCACGCCCCCATTCTCATCGACAGGGCTGTAGTGGAACAGGTTGAGAGCTTCAAGTTCCTTGGTGTCCACATCACCAACGAACTATCATGAAACCAAACACACCAAGACAGTCGTGAAGAGGGCACGACAAAGCCTATTCCCCCTCAGGAGACTGAAAAGATTCGGCATGTGTCCTCAGATCCTCAATTTTTTTTTACAGCTGCACCATCGAGAGCATCCTGACTGGTTGCATCACCGCCTGATATGGCAACTGCTTGGCCTCCGACCGCAAGGCACTACAGAGGGTAGTGCGTACGGCCCAGTACATCACTGGGGCCAAGCTTCCTGCCATCCAGGACCTCTATACCAGGCAGTGTCAGAGGAAGGCCCTCAAAATTGTCAAAGACTCCAGCCACCCTAGTCATAGACTGTTCTCTCTGCTACCGCACGGCAAGCGGTACCGGAGTGCCAAGTCTAGGCCCACCCCATCTTTTTACGCTGCTGCTACTCTGTTAATTATTTATGCATAGTCACTTTAACTCTACCCACATGTACATATTACTTCAACTACCTCAACTAGCCGGTGCCCCCGCACATTGACTCTGCACCGGTACCCCCCTGTATATATAGCCTCCCTACTGTTATTTTATTTTACTTATGCTCTTTTTTTCTCAACACTTTTTTGTTGTTGTTTTATTTTACTTTTTTATTAAAAATAAATGCACTGTTGGTTAAGGGCTGTAAGTAAGTATTTCACTGTAATGTCTGCACCTGTTGTATTCGGCGCATGTGGCCAATACAATTTGATTTGATTTGATTTGAGATCTGAATGAATGAAATAATCTTATTAAATACTTTTTTCTTTACATAGTTGAATGTGCTGACAACAAAATCACACAAAAATTATCAATGGAAATCAAATGTATCAACCCATGGAGGTCTGGATTTGGAGTCACCCTCAAAATTAAAGTGGAAAACCACACTACAGGCTGATCCAACTTTGATGTAATGTCCTTAAAACAAGTCAAAATGAGGCTCAGTAGTGTGTGTGGCCTCCACGTGCCTGTATGACCTCCCTACAACGCCTGGGCATGCTCCTGATGAGGTGGCGGATGGTCTCCTGAGGGATCTCCTCCCAGACCTGGACTAAAGCATCCGCCAACTCCTGGACAGTCTGTGGTGCAACGTGGCGTTGGTGGATGGAGCGAGACATGATGTCCCAGATCAATTGGATTCAGGTCTGGGGAACGGGCGGGCCAGTCCATAGCATCAATGCCTTCCTCTTGCAGGAACTGCTGACACACTCCAGCCACATGAGGTCTAGCATTGTCTTGCATTAGGAGGAACCCAGGGCCAACCGCACCAGCATATGGTCTCACAAGGGGTCTGAGGATCTCATCTCGGTACCTGATGGCAGTCAGGCTACCTCTGGCGAGCACATGGAGGGCTGTGCGGCCCCCCAAAGAAATGCCACCCCACACCATGACTGACCCACCGCCAAACCGGTCATGCTGGAGGATGTTGCAGGCAGCAGAACGTTCTCCACGGCGTCTCTAGACTCTGTGAACCTGCTTTCATCTGTGAAGAGCACAGGGCGCCAGTGGCGAATTTGCCAATATTGGTGTTCTCTGGCAAATGCCAAACGTCCTGCATGGTGTTGGGCTGTAAGCACAACCCCCACCTGTGGACGTCGGGCCCTCATACCACCCTCATGGAGTCGGTTTCTGACCGTTTGAGCAGACACATGCACATTGGTGGCCTGCTGGAGGTCATTTTGCAGGGCTCTGGCAGTGCTCCTCCTGCTCCTCCTTGGACAAAGGCGGAGGTAGCGGTCCTGCTGCTGGTTTGTTGCCCTCCTACGGCCTCCTCCACGTCTCCTGATGTACTGGCCTGTCTCCTGGTAGCGCCTCCATGCTCTGGACACTACGCTGACAGACACAGCAAACCTTCTTGCCACAGCTCACATTGATGTGCCATCCTGGATGAGCTGCACTACCTGAGCCACTTGTGTGGGTTGTAGACTCCGTCTCATGCTACCACTAGAGTGAAAGCACCGGCAGCATTCAAAAGTGACCAAAACATCAGCCAGGAAGCATAGGAACTGAGAAGTGGTCTGTGGTCACCACCTGCAAAACCAGTCCTTTATTGGGGGTGTCTTGCTAATTGCCTATAATTTCCACCTGTTGTCTATTCCATTTGCACAACAGCATGTGAAATGTATTGTCAATCAGTGTTGCTTCCTAAGTGGACAGTTTGATTTCACAGAAGTGTGATTGACTTGGAGTTACATTGTGTTGTTTAAGTGTTCCCTTTATTTTTTTGAGCAGTGTACATTCATTTCCAATGGAACGCTGCGTTTGCCTTGCAGCATTGCGTTGCGGAGGCAGTTGCAGTGCGGTGCAGACATTGGATTTATCGAACGTATGCGTAAACGGGTTGACAGAAATGGTAGCAGAAGGTGAATGTTGAACTTTTGCATTGCTGCAAGGCAAACGCAGCGTTCTATTGGAAATGAATGTACTTCTGGTGTACCAAACCGCAATGACACAGTCGGTGTGTTCAAAGCGTATGGACAAGGTATGACAGCAATCCATGCTTAGGTTTTATTTCCCTTGTTTTGGTTTTGTTTCCAAATGCTAACCTTTTAGCATTTGTGGCACAAATCCCATTCAACGTGGTCCTCTGTAGCTCAGCTGGTAGAACGGCACTTGTTGGTACAACGGCACTTGTAACGCCAAGGTAGTGGGTTCGATCCCCGGGACCACCCATACACAAAAATGTATGCACGCATGACTGTAAGTCGCTTTGGATAAAAGCGTCTGCTAAATGGCATATTATTATTATTATTATTAAGTCATGGGACCGATGTTATCATTTTTCGCTCATCACGTCCAAATCATCCGACAGTATCTAAAATTGATTCTGAAGCTCATCAAAATCACTTATAGATGATTTGAACATGCTAAATGGGATTTGTGCCACAAATGCATTTGGAAACAGTGCGGTCATACCTTGTCCATAGACCGCTTACAAGGTAAGCAAACCAAAATGTCATTTTGTAATTTGGGTGAACTATCCCTTTAACTAAGAATGTATCTCTTGTGGACAGGGTTTACGTGATATTTTAGGTTCTGGGTTGCCGAGATTAACAAACAATAGGTTAGTACAAACGGGTAGGGCTGGCAGGATTCGAATGCCACGAAAGGTAGTATACAAGTCCAGCAGTGGAGGCTGCTGGGGGGTGGACGGCTCATATTAATGGCCGGATTGGAGTGAATGGTATCTAGCACATGTTATTTTTTGTTTTCATGTGTTTGATATCATTCCATTAATTCCATTTCACCCATTACACTCTATTCCAACCATTATTATGAGCTGAACTCCTCTCAGCAGCCTCCACGGCTACCAAACCCAAGTTGTACTCAGTCAGGATACTTACAATAAACTTACAATTAACATCACAGAGACTGAATAGAATATTGGTAAAATGTGAATGAAGGTCGTTTCATACTGCTAGGTCTGGTGTGGGACTTGGAGACAGCAGCAGCTCTGTCCCTGGATTTCCCTCTAATCATTACTTCAAACAGTTGCAAAACGTTTTGTTTTGCAACGAAAACTAGCGTTTCTATTGGACAGATTCAAGTAGGTCCCTCCCCGTTTGGTTCCTGTAGTAAACAGTTTCCATTGCTAAACGTTTTGCAACAGAATCCAACTAATGAATACCCCCAAGTGGAAGTGCATTCTCCAGAGTCATACCTGCAACCAATCATAAACACACAAACAATTAATTCAAACGGACCAATAAGAAGACAGTTACAAATCACATGATTACCGTAATTTACTTTATAGAGGCACCTCCACCCTGTTACAGGACAGGCAAGATATTTCAATGTATACTGAACAAAAATGTAAACGCGAAGTGTTCATATAAGGAAATCAGTCAATTTAAATTAATTCAATAGGACCTAATCTATGGATTTCACATGACTGGTAATACAGATATGCATCTGTTGGTCACAAATACCTTTAAAAAAAGTTAGGGGCGTGGATCAGAAAACCAGTCAGTATCTGGTGTGACCACCATTTGCCTCATGCAGCGCAACACTTCTCCTTCGCATAGAGTGGATAAGGCTGTTGATTGTGGCCTGTGGAATGTTGTCCCACTTCTCTTCAATGGCTGTACGAAGTTGCAGGATATTGGAGGGAACTGAAACACGCTGTCGTACACGTCGATCCAGAGCATCCAAACATGCTCAATGGGTGACCTGTCTGGTGAGTATGCAGGCCATTTTCAGCTTTCAGGAATTGTGTACAGATCCTTGCGACATGGGGCTGTGTATTATCATGCTGAAACATGAGGTGATGGCGGCGGATGAATGACACGACAATGGGCCTCAGGATCTCTTCACGGTATCTCTGTGCATTCAAATTGCCATCGACAAAATGCAATTGTGTTCATTGTCCGTAGCTTATGCCTGCCCGTACCATAACCCCACTGCCACCATGGGGCACTCTATTCACAACGTTGACATCAGCAAACTGCTCGCCCACACGACGCCATAAACGTGGTCTGCTGTTGTGAGGCCGGTTGGACTTATTGCCAAACTCTCTAAAACAACATGTCTTATGGTAGAGAAATTAACATTCAATTCTCTGGCAACAGCTCTGGTGGATATTGCTGCAGTCAGCATGCCAATTGCACACTCCCTCAAAACATGAGACATCTGTGGCATTGTGTATTGTGACAAAACGGCACATTTTAGAGTGGCCTTTTATTGTCCCCAGCACAAGGTGCACCTGTGTAATGATCATGTTGTTTAATCAGCTTCTTGATATGCCACACCTGTCAGGTAAATGGATTATCTTGGCAAAGGAGAAATGTTCACTAACAGGGATGTAAACAAAGTTGTACACACAATTTGCGAGAAATAATATTTTTGGGATCTTTTATTTCAGCTCATGAAACATGGGACCAACACTTTACATGTTGCGTTTATAAAAAAATGTCTTCTGTATACCCCCCCTACCTTGTCACAACACAACTGATTGGCTCAAACGCATTAAGAAGGAAAGAAATTCCACAAATTACTTTTAAGAAGGCACACCTGTTAATTGAAATGCATTCCAGGTGACTACCTCATGAAGATGGTTGAGAGAATGTCAAGAGTGTGCAAAGCTGTCATCAAGGCAAATGGTGGCTATTTGAAGTATCTCAAATAAAAAATATATTTTGATTTGTTTAACACTTTTTTGGTTACTACATGATTCCATATGTGTTATTTCATAGTTTTGATGTCTTCACTATTATTCTACAATGTAAAAATAAGGAAAAACCCTTGCATGAGTAGGCGTCCAAACTTTTGACTGGTACTGTATATCTTGCCATGTCAAATTCTATATTGTGTCCTCCCTTCTAGGACATACTCCTCTGGATAGGTTGATGTCTCTTCTAGGACATACTCCTCTGGATAGGTTGATGTCTCTTCTAGGACATACTCCTCTGGATAGGTTGATGTCTCTTCTAGGACATACTCCTCTGGATAGGTTGATGTCTCTTCTAGGACATACTCCTCTGGATAGGTGGATGTGTCTAATGTACAGTGTTCTGTGTCTCCAGGTGTTTGTGCTGCTGTTCATCTTTGTGAAGAGGCAGATCATGCGCTTCGCCATGAAGTCTCGTAGAGGACCACATGTACCCCTGGGCCACAACGCTCCAAAGGTAAGAGAGGGAGAGACACACACACACACACACTCAGTCTCTGACATTTCTATACATGTGATTGCTTTCTCTACTTCCTGTGTCCTTTAGGAGCTGAGACAGGAGATAGACTCTCATCTGTCCAAGGTTCAGGAGATCCGGTTTGAGCCACGCCTGCTGTCTGAACATGACGACCGACTACAGAATGGCGGTGAGAGAACCCCACACACACACACACACACACATACAGTGCCTTCGGGAAGTATTCAGACCCCTTGACTTTGTCCACATTTTGTTACATTACAGCCTTATTCTAAAATTGATTAAATAAAACAATTTCCTCAGCAATCTACACACAATATCCTGTAATGAAAAAGCGAAAACAGGTTTTTAGAATTTTTTGCAAATTGATTAAATCCCAAAAACCTTATTTACATAAGTATTCAGACCCTTTGCTATGAGACTCTAAATTGAGCTCAGGTGCATCCTGTTTCCATTGATCCATCCTTGAGATGTTTCTACAACTTGATTGGAGTCCACCTGTGGTAAATTCAATTGATTGGACATGATTTGGAAAGGCACACACCTGTCTATATAAGGTCCCACAGTTGACAGTGCATCTCAGAGGTCAAAGGAATTGTCTGTGGACCCATGAGACAGGATTGTGTCAAGGCACAGATCTAGGTAAGGGTACCAAATCCTTTCTGCAGCATTGAAGGTCCTCAAGAACACAGTAGCCTCCATCATTCTTAAATGGAGGATGTTTGGAACCACCAAGACTCTTCCTAGAACTGGCCGCCTGGCCAAACTGAGCAATCGGGGGAGAAGGCCCTTGGTCAGGGAGGTGACCAAGAACCCGATGGTCACTCTGACAGAGATCTAGAGTTCCTCTGTGGAGATGGGAGAACCTTCCAGAAAGACAACTATCTCTGCAGCACTCCACCAATTAGGCTTTAATGGTAGAGTGGCCAGATGGAAGCCAAAAGGCACATGACAGCCCGCTTGGAGTTAGTCAAAAGGCACCTAAAGACTCTCAGACCATGAGAAACAAGATTCTCTGGTCTGATGAAACCAAGATTCAACTCTTTGGCCTGAATGCCAAGCGTCACATCTGGAGGAAACCTGGCACCATCCCTACAGTGAAGCATGGTGGTGGCAGCATCATGCTGTGGGGATGTTTTTCAGCGGCAGGGACTGGGAGACTAGTCAGGATCGAGGCAAAGATGAACGGAGCAAAGTACAGAGAGATCCTTGATGAAAACCTGCTCCAGAGCACTCAGGGCCTCAGACAGGGTCGAAGGTTCACCTTCCAACAGGACAACGACCCTAAGCACACAGCCAAGACAATGCAGGAGTGGCTTTGGGACAAGTCTCTGAATGTCCTTGAGTAGCCCAGCCAGAGCCCGGACTTGAACCCGATCGAACATCTCTAGAGAGACCTGAAAATAGCTGTGCAGCAATGCTCCCCATCCAACCTGACAGAGTTTGAGAGGATCTGCAGAGAAGAATGGGAGAAACTCCCCAAATACAGGTGTGCCAAACTTGTAGCGTTATACCCAAGAAGACTAGAGGCTGTAATCGATGCCAAAGGTGCTTCAACAAAGTACTGAGTAAAGGGTCAGAGTACTTATGTAAATGTGATATTTCCGTTTTTAAAAAATATAGACATTAGCATAAATGTCATAAAACAGTTTTTGCTTTGTCATAATGGGGTATTATGTGTAGATTGTGTAATCAATTTAGAATAAGGCTGTAACCTAACAAAATGTGGAAAAGTCAAGGGGTGTGTATACTTTCTGAAGGCACATACACATACATCTACACACACACACACACACACATCATGTAGATGTCTTTTCTACTCATTCTACAGCTACAGTAGCCCTCTGTGAACTAAAAAATATGACCTATGTGTGTGTTTTGCAGGTTGCTATGACTACCTGTACAGAATGAGGGCACTAGATGCCATAAGAGACTCTGGTAAGTCCTCTCCTGCTGTTTCACCCTGGCCTGTACATCTCACTGTCATCATCCTAGTCCAGCAGCACCCCCTGCTGGGGCATTTTGTAGTAACTACAGTATACTTAAGCAATAAAGCACGAAGGGGTGTGTGGTATATGGCCAATATACCACGTCTAAGGACTGTTCTTATGCACCACGCAATGCAGAGTGCCTGGATACAGCCCTTAGCCATGGTATATTGGCAATATACCACAAACCCCTGAGGTGCCTTATTGCTATTATAAACTGGTTACCAATGTAATTAGAGCAGTAAAAATCAATGTTTTGCCATACCAGTGGTATACCCCGGCTTTCAGCCAATCAGTACGTAGGGCTCGAACCACCCAGTTTATAATGTTGCACATCCTCTTCACATACTGTACTATCTTCTGAATCAGTGACCTTTGACCTCTTGATCCATAACTCCAATTTGATCATAATACATCTTGTCATCTCGTCTGTCAGATATTCCGTTCAGTGAGTTGGGAGGGACTCCCACAGCTGTGACAGGGAGGAGATTCCGGGCCTGGCTCCTAGATCTGAGGAATTCCCATTCCCTGTTCCGCAGCAGCCACAGTTCCCTCATAGACACACTGCTGGAGGGCTACCACAACGCTCGCCACGGCACCGGGGTCAGTGCGTTTGTGTGTGTGTCTCTTTATTTTACCTGAGGGAGAGAAAGATGTGTGTCTCCACATGACAGTGTGTCTTCCCCTTACTGAGGGGTCTACAGCGTGTGACTCCTGTCTGTCTCTCTGTGTCTGAAGGTGTTTGGAAAAGCAGAGTTTGTCAAATACAAGGAAGCCCTGAACGAACTGGCCTCTGTGTGAGTACAGACACACTGCCATTTATCTAAGCACTACTCATGTGTTATAATGAAGGTTTTTCAACTTTGACTCAAGTAGTTATTCCTCTCTCCCCAGTGTGAAGAGCCAGTCCAGCTCCATCAGTCTGGACCAGCATCACCAGTTGGCAGCTAAAGACCTGACCAGTACCCCAGAGCCTCCCCCCTCCTCTCCCCCCTCCCAGGTCACATACCTGCCGTCAGCTGGGCAACGCACCAAACGACCAAAACACTTCCTGGAACTCAAGAACTTTAAAGACAAATACAACACCTTGGAGAGCACATTCTGAGAACTACAATCTTCTATGGCACAACATGAGAAACTACAACTCCCTACAGCCCCGAGAACTACAACTCCCTAGAAAAAACCTGGAGAACTACAACAACTTCTCTGCTACCACTTTAAATCTGTTTTGTTGCGAGTACTGGACTCACTTTTCCTTCTCTATTTCCAAAGTAGATAGGTAGAGATACTGGAGGTAGAGATAGTGGAGGTGACAGATCTATCATGCATCGCACAGAATATATAGTGCACTATATTGAAGCTTATTTCATATTAAACATCGTTGTGAACTGTTGCACAGACTTTGCAGGTAGATAATCATGTAGGGTTGCAGGTTGGGCTATGCAAAAAGAGAAGAGACCAGACAAGCTACATGCAGTTTCTATGCAGAATGCATGAATGCAGGGTTTCCCAAACTCGGTCCTGGGGACCCGAAGGGGGGCACGTTTTGGTTTTAGCCCTAGCACTACACAGTTGACTCAAATAATCAACTAATCATCAAGCTTTGATTATTTGAATCAGCTGTGTAGTGCTAGGGCAAAAACAAAAACGTGCACCCCCTGGGGTAGACTTGTAGACTTGTTTATAGTGTGTTCAGTGCTAACTACACTATTGATGGACTAATGTTACAGCAGACCAGCGGTCCTCACTATGGCCCTGGAGAGCTACAGTACAGGGTGTGCAGACTTTTGTTCCCAGCTAGCACTAACACACCTCCAATCAAGATGATTAGTAGAATCCGGTTAGTCACTGTTTAGCTGGAACAATACAGCCTGTTATGCAGGACCAGGAGAGAAGATCTCTGGACTATTCCAGTATTACTGTCCAGTATTATTGTCCTGTTGCCAGCACTTGTTTAGGGCAGAGCCATGTATTTACATATATATATATATGGCTCTGGTTTAGGGCTAGTGTTACAAGGAAATGAACATGTTACACAGTCTGACTGTTGTCCATTTGCTGCAGAGAAATTATGACACTTTTTAGAGTGTACGATGAATGATGATGTTTGTTTTTTAACGATTTTTTAGTTTTCCATTTTTAAAGATAACATGAATGCTTTATATGAATTAAGTGCCCTTTTTCCTGAATTGATTATTTTAATACAGTTAAATTATTACATGTATGTATAGATGAATACTTAAAACGTAATATATTCTTAATGAGGTGTGAGTTGGCTATATAGGCTGGGTGCCAGTCAGTTTCTGCTTTACCCAATCCCTACTCTCTCTTACAGCAGAAACAGACTGGTATGGTACCCAAGCACATATCAATTGTGATTGGCGTTATCTAAAGCACCTACAGATGTGGGACCAGGCTAGAGATTTATGGATTGAGTAATATTGATGTATGATTGTAGCACAATGTTCCTCCAATCAAATGTGAACAGCTTTAGAAGTGTGTTCTAATGTAATCATGTGTTTCTAATGAGTTGTGGGTTATGTGTGTATGATTGATGTATGATTGGGACCAGAGGAGGCTGGTGAGGATAGGACGGCTCATAATAATGGATGGAATGGAATGGTAACAAACACATGGAAAATCAGGTGTTTGTGTTAAACACCATTCAATTTATTCCGTTCCAGCCATTGCTACAGCCTTATAATAATGCTGAATAGGTTGCTTTATGTTTTAATGGACTCCCCTGATCTATCCTCTGTGCATTGTAATACATACTGCAGCTGCCATTCCATTAAAGTGGTACCACTGGACCAGAGAGATTGACTGATGATATGACGTCTTATGGCAATGTTTTCATGGACATTTGAGATACAACTCAATTCTAGTGGTGTAGGCTACATTTATCCCCCCAGAACATTATCAGTTGGTCATTTCTTTAATAGCCTTAGTGTTATGGCAACATGTGCCTTTTCTCCCAGCATATTTGTCTATCATGTGACTCACCACCAGGGGGCGGACATTCACTATGCATAAACTACAGTACCTCACTATGCATAAACTACAGTACCTCACTATGCATAAACTACAGTACTTCACTATGCATAAACTACAGTACTTCACTATGCATAAACTACAGTACTTCACTATGCATAAACTACAGTACCGCACTATGCATAAACTACAGTACCGCACTATGCATAAACTACAGTACTTCACTATGCATAAACTACAGTACCGCACTATGCATAAACTACAGTACTTCACTATGCATAAACTACAGTACCGCACTATGCATAAACTACAGTACTTCACTATGCATAAACTACAGTACCGCACTATGCATAAACTACAGTACCGCACTATGCATAAACTACAGTACTTCACTATGCATAAACTACAGTACTTCACTATGCATAAACTACAGTACTGCACTATGCATAAACTACAGTACTTCACTATGCATAAACTACAGTACCGCACTATGCATAAACTACAGTACCGCACTATGCATAAACTACAGTACCTCACTATGCATAAACTACAGTACCTCACTATGCATAAACTACAGTACCGCACTATGCATAAACTACAGTACTTCACTATGCATAAAATACAGTACCTCACTATGCATAAACTACAGTACCGCACTATGCATAAACTACAGTACTTCACTATGCATAAACTACAGTACCGCACTATGCATAAACTACAGTACCGCACTATGCATAAACTACAGTACCTCACTATGCATAAACTACAGTACTTCACTATGCATAAACTACAGTACCTCACTATGCATAAACTACAGTACCGCACTATGCATAAACTACAGTACCTCACTATGCATAAACTACAGTACCTCACTATGCATAAACTACAGTACCTCACTATGCATGAAGTACATTTGTATAGTAGTAAATCATAATAATACATTATAATAATGAATGTAGCTGTAATGTAATATAGAAATGTGAATGAGAATATTTGACTCACTAGTTCCCCCTCAAAAAACATGCAATTATTTTCATAGATTTATTAAAATAACTAAAACACAAAGCTTGTATATATGTTGTTAACACACACACTAAAACGTATACTGAAAATGTTTTCCCTAAAATGAAAGTGTTATTTTCACATAAATACATAAAGATGATTGTCACACACTGTGTCAGGCCAAACACTGGCTGCACGTCTGAAGGATATAAAATCACACAGAGAAAGACTACAGGAAATTCAAAGAATACCACGTAAACAAACACACAAATAAATATAGTTATGTACAAAGCTGGTGATAGTGGATGAAACTTAAAGTAACTGAAATGCATGCATCTCGTTTGACATTTTATTTCTCTGTTATGGCCCAAACTGGCATGGTTGCCTCCTCTCTGAGGCCAAAGTACTCTGTCTGTTATCAGTACCACATGGTACTGCTATCACACTGTCTCTCCTCCTCTCTCTCAGTATTAAAGTCCTTCAGACTGACTTCAACAAATGACAATAGATTATAACACTGGGTTAGAAAGAATAATCTGTCTGCTATGAATAAATATACTTATATTGTGAATCAGCTCTATCAGTATTTACAGTATATCCATCTACATCAAAGTCCATACACAATCCAAAACCGTGCACACACACAAGGAGGCTGGTGGGAGGAGCTATAGGAGGACAGGCTATAGGAGGAATAAATGGAACAGTATCAAACACAGCAAACATATGGAAACCATTTTGACTGTTCCATTTATACCATTCCAGACATTACAATGAGCCCATCCTCCTACAGCTTCTCCCACCAGCCTCCTCTCACACACACACACACACATAAACATTGCATAGTGTCCTATCGAAGGAGTGTGGCCATGGGTGGTTGATGGTCGTGGTTGGTGGTCAGTTGATGTATGTGTGATGTTGTGGTCACCTCAGTTTAAACTTCATACGTGTACTGAGATGTTGGTGTGGTAGTTTTGTGGTTGTGGTCTATTTCAGTCCGTTGTTGCTTAGCTTAGCAGGTTCGGTGTCATTAGGTTAGCCACTTCTCCCTCCATCTCTCTCTTCCTCTCCCTCCCTCGCTTTCACCAGTTCAGGACTTGGTCTCAATGATTTTGATGAAGGGAAGAGGCTTGTTGGACGAGTTGGTGGGCTTCAATGGCTTACTGTGGAGGAGAGAGAGAGAGAGAGAGAGAGGGGTAGAGAGAGATAGAGAGAGGTAGAGAGAGAGAGAGAGAGAGAGGTAGAGAGAGAGGTAGAGAGAGGTAGAGAGAGGTAGAGAGAGAGAGAGAGAGATAGAGAGGTAGAGAAAGAGAGAGGTAGAGAAAGAGAGAGAGAGAGCGAGAGAGAGAGAGAGAGGTAGAGAGAGATAGAGAGAGAGATTAGATTGATGCCAAGGTTTTACACTGGGAAACACATTGCTAGTGAACAGCTGAGGGACACTATGGGGATGTGGTGGGGTCAGAAGTGATTGTGTGTGTTCAGGTTTGTGTGTGGAGGGCTGTGTGAGGCCAGTCAGGGGAATGAGGGGGCTGGTGTGTGGTGAGTTGATGACAGGTCAGGTGTGTGGTGAGTTGATGACATGTAAGGTGTGTGGTGAGTTGATGACAGGTCAGGTGTGTGGTGAGTTGATGACAGGTCAGGTGTGTGGTGAGTTGATGACAGGTCAGGTGTGTGGTGAGTTGATGACATGTCTATGATGGGGGTGTGGTGAGTTGATGACAGGTATATAATGGGGGTGTGGTGAGTTTGACAGGTCAGGTGTGTGGGGAGTTGATGACAGGTCAGTTGTGTGGTGAGTTGATGACAGGTCAGTTGTGTGGTGAGTTGATGACAGGTCAGATGTGTGGTGAGTTGATGACAGGTCAGGTGTGTGTTGAGTTGATGACAGGTCAGGTGTGTGTTGAGTTGATGACAGGTCAGGTGTGTGGTGAGTTGATGACAGGTCAGGTGTGTGGTGAGTTGATGACAGGTCAGGTGTGTGTTGAGTTGATGACAGGTCAGGTGTGTGTTGAGTTGATGACAGGTCAGGTGTGTGTTGAGTTGATGACAGGTCTATGATGGGGGTGTGTCTGCCTGCGTTACTGCGTTTGTGTGTGTGAGTTACCTGTAGACAATATGGGCGTTGCGGTCTGATGAGAGGTGCGAGTTTGACCTTTCACCTCCCAGGAAGTAGTCCATCTGATCATGCATCTCCCGGTTCTAAACACACACACACACACATAGGGTCAGAGGTCAGGGTCAGAGGTCAGAAGAAGTCAAACCCAACTCTGTGTTGCAGGCATAATATAGTACAGTTCAGAGCTACAGTAGTTGGAGAACAAAAGACTACAAATCCCAGGTATGGTTAGTTGGTACTGACCTCTGCCTCCAGGAAAGCCACCTTCTCCTCCAGGTCTCTGATGACACGGTCCCTCTCCTGAATCACCATACGAGAGTTCTGCAGCTGTAGACACACACATACATGTTATAGTCATGTTATAGCATGTTATAGTCCTGTTATAGCATGTTATAGTCCTGTTATAGCATGTTATAGACCTGTTATAGCATGTTATAGTCCTGTTATAGCATGTTATAGTCCTGTTATAGCATGTTATAGTCCTGTTATAGCATGATATAGCATGTTATAGACCTGTTAAA